GAGGTTAAGCCCTGGATTTGAATCCTGCGAGGAGGATTGTGGATACGCACTGTTGGGTAGTCCTACAATCGGACGAAACGGTCGTCCAGTGATTCCAGGTTTTCAATGGTGGTCTAACATCAATCAGTTCATGATCTCAATCCAATACTTATCTCTTTATTTAGCATGTATCTATCATTAGATGGTACTGTAATGAACAAAATACGAGTGGGGACGATCGAATGTATTTCAACACAAAGTTACAGAGTATCTCAATAAAATCTGAGAACCATATAATAAATCGTTAATTTGCAAAATATCAACCCATCATCACAAACTTGACCATCAATCCATTGTCTCAGATTTCATTGTTCATGCGTTTTCACACCAATCGCGTTCCGTCCCCGTTCTTTCCTTATCGACCTTCTACTGAAATACATTCTATGCCTTACCACAATCATATACTACTTATGTGGATATAAGTAATCTACACCACAATACTAATCCGGATTCATTCTTTCTTTCTTTTAGTAAACATTTGAAATACATCAGTGTTTTAATCAACAACAAAAAATATGAGAATTTAAGGAATTCTATAAATTTATTCTCTCTGGATTTTCTTTTAATTAAATATTAAATCAATAATGTAAAATAGTTATTTCTACGGGTGAATTGTCTATTTCTTAGTAAACTATGAATTGGTACGTTACTTTTATCAGTTAAACAATACCAATTCATGATATCACTATAATGATAGAAATTTTGGATATCCGGAATGTTACTAAGTGAATTAGAAATATGATAGGACTATTGTTTACTATGGTTTTACTGGTTTTGTTTTAATAATTTCTTGCTTCCTAGTAACCTCTCTACTTGATAACAAACAAAAATATATTTCAATGGTTAAGATCATGAGTCAGTTGAAGCTAGACCACCATGGAAAACCTGGAAGCGCTGGACGGCCGTTTCGTCTTATTGTGGGACTCCTCAGCAGAGCGCATCCACAACCTTGCCCCCTGCGAGATTCGAACCCAGTACTTACTGGTTTCACGCGCGAGCACTTAACCATGATGGTCTCGCTTCAACTGAATCATGATCTTAACCATTGAAATTACTATAATATTCACAAAATCTATCTGATATTAAAAATATATTTGACTATATCAAACACTGCATAATGTCTGAGTATTTTTAAGGAGAATGTCAAAATAAGTACTGGTGTGAAGTACACTACTTATGTCGACATAAGTAGTATACAACACCAATCAGAAGTAGAATGCCTGACAGCAGTAGGCTGGAGAAAATACAATCAAAAAGAACGGGAATAAAGAGTATTTGTTATGGCAATGAAGGAACAATGACGTTTAAGACAGATGATAGAAACGGCCTTCTAGAACTTCCGAGTTTCCCATGGTGTTCTAGCTTCAATTGACTCACGATTTCAATCTGTGAAATTTCTAAAATCTCCACAAAACCCTTTCTGATAATTAAAGAATTTATTAATGAAATCATTTTGTTTGTATAAAAATTTATCTATGGTTTAGTTTTAACAATGTTGATGTCTGTTTTGAGCAATAAACTCTCTTCTCACGAATGTACCGTTAACAAAGGCGGTGGATTTGCTTTATGACTATTTCTAGAAACAGTTTTCCCTTTTTCCTATTCCGTCACCATTGTTGAAAGAATTACTTTTATTATGTACTACTAATATTCAATTCATGTTTGATGGTGAATATTTTCGACAATTCGATGGTGCAGCTATGGGTAGCCCTTTGAGGCCTCTCTTAGCTGATGTATTTATGTCATATGTGGAAAATTTGACGAGTGAGCTTATTAGTGAGGTAACTCTATACAGAAGATACATGGATGATATTCTAATTATATGTGATAAAGATTTTGATGTTTACCTATTATGGGATAAACTCAATAGTGTTCAAGACGATATTGTGATGACATATGAAGCAGAAAATAATGACCAATTGGCCTTTTTAGACATACTTCTAAGTCGAAGGGATGATGTCACTATTAGACGGTCAGTGTATAGGAAACCAACCTGGACGGGACAATACTTATTTTCCATAGTTTATGTCCATTGCAATACAAGCGAGGCCTGGCTAAGAGGACTCAAAGAATTTGTGCTTCTGACACGGTGGAAGAAAATGAATAGTTCCTGACTGACACATTATTAACAAATGGTTATCCACTAAAGTTTATTAATAGGTGCAAAAGCCAATAATGTCAAGACCTCTTGTTTATTCAGTTACAAAGAAAAAAGTTAATGTCAATCTACTATATAGAGGCGAATCCAACAGTATAGTTTTAAGACAGAGGTTGAAAGCAGCCATCGAAGATACCTATTATGCTGCTCAAGTGGTTGTGATTGAAAAGTCTAGGCCCATGATTCCTAATAGACCCAGACAATGCACATTCCATTGTATTTACCAATTTACATGTTTGTGTGGACACACATACATAAGGAGGAGTAATAGAACAATACAATCAAGGGTCAATGAACGTGTGCTTAGATGGCTTCAAAATCAGTGTGTGTCAAATGATCCGATCAATGTGGGAGCTGGAAAACCAGGCTTATCGATAACGAAACATAATTTAAACGGGGCACAAAATTGACATTAATACAGCTTTTAGGACGTTGTATAAAAATTGTCAAGGACGAATTCTTAAGTTTATTAAAGCCTTGGCTATTCGTAAATTTAAACCCCCTTATGTGTACAAAAACAATTTGTTGTAACCTTGAATTTATCTTGGTAATCCTTAAGTCATTCTATGGCATAGGATAACGCGATAATTTCTTATTCTTTCTCTTGTGAAGATAGGCCTGACAAGCTTATTTTGTAAATAGTTTTTAATATTAGTTGTATTTATTTTGTCAATCTTTCACTGTCTGTATATTTTATCATTAAACGATTGTACCTTTTGTTTTAGTAAATGACCTTGAACACACTTTCCGTTGTGATACTGACATAGCGTGACATGCTCTTGCTGGCTAACAAATACACTACTACTCACACCTTCCTCTTTCTATCTTCGTTTTGTGGTTGAGTTAACTGAAGTCTAAATCAAATACTATCTACGTTTATAAACTGTAATTGGAATATATTACATCCTACGTTGGATTATATCACTGGAGAGTTCGTCGACCAGATTGGAATTACCAAGGATTTATAATTGTGGTTTCTTAGTACCAGACCAAAGGCGAACACGCATCAACTAGGTGAACTTAAGTAAAGTCCCAACTTTCTATTGTATTTGTAATAATTAACTTATATATATTAGCATTTCTATTGATCTTTATTAACTTTGTTGATATTTTTTGCATTTATATATCGTCTGGTCCATCACACTCTCCCCTTTGTTACATTTTACTTGAACTTTCATTTAATTGACCTTTATTAATTTTCATATAAAATGCCCTGACAAGTATATGTGTGACCAGATTGTTTGAAATGTTCAGAGCAAATACATCACACATTTTTCAGATCAACTCCGTCTTCTCATTGTTCTATCGAAATAAAGAAAGCACCGATGTTTTCATATTTACAGATACGTTATTCTAATGAATTTTAGTTACGAACGAATATAAACCAGATAATTTTTGTCGACTGATATCAATGAAGATAAAAAAAATACAGCCCAATAGTGCATCATACTCACAAACAGCCATATTATGACTCAAAAAAAAAAAAACAACCGAACTAAGTTATATTGTTTCATAAGTGATGATTTCGTGCCAAAAAAATTCATTTGTTTCTTAGCAAAATTTAATATTATCAGAAGAGGTTTTGTGGAGATTGTAGTCATTTCAATAGTTGAGATCGTGGTTGAATTGAAGCTAGACCACCATGGAAAACTTGGACGAAACAGCCGTCCAGTCCTTCCAAGTTTTCCATGGTGGTCTAACTTCAATTGACTCACAATCTCAACTATTAAAATTTATTATATTCGATTATTTTGGGCAACTGTTTAACTATCTCTTTCATTACATATTTTTGCTAAAAACATTCTGAAATTTATAAACAATTTGATAAAACAATAATTTTCATCTATTCTATAATAAATTATTACATTACTCTTATCTCATTAATTATCATTCATATACAATGCTAATAATTGCCAATAATTAAAAGCCTTTTTATATAAGAAATTTAATCCAAATTTGATCAAATCGTTTCACAGTATTTGGGAACCATGCTGATATGAGACGTTAAAGAAGAAGAATGTATTGATTAAAATCTCAGTAAATGAATTTGAAATAAATTTAACGTTTCACCTAATAACCTGATCCAAACTATTTCAAGCATCAAACTTATCGAATAATTTATTTTACTAACATTTTACAATTACATTCTTTCTCTTTTTGATGAATCAAGTGCTTTGATTTGAAATTCCTAGAATGCTTAATGATTATTTTCTTGTATTATTTTTTTGTTTAAAGCAAAAAGCAAACAGTCAATGGTTCAATGATGGATAGTGGCTATCAGTGGAATCCAGGACGCGCGTTTCGTCCTATTTGGGACTCGTCAGCTGGATTTACCTGCATCTCAGAGAGTTGATGTTCACTCTAAGACTCGAACCCAGTACCATTCGCTTCAAACGCCATCACGTTATTCACTCAGCTACTGAATCGTGATAGCCACTTGCTTGTGCAATGGGGTGAATTTGAATTCACTTGGTATTGTTTGGCTTGTATCTTGTGAATTAAGGTAATATCGAGGAATACGCACAGTATGCACATATGCCAATAACAAACTGATCAATTGCAGTCTTAAACCACAATGGGAAGATACAAGCCAAACAATACCAAATGAAGTCAATGGTTCAGTTACCATTTATAACAAAATTGAACGTCGTACAGAGTAAAGTAAATGCCTAGAAAAATGACATTTAGTTCTTACAGTAATCATTACCAAGTTTATTTACAAATAAACAAAACAAACAAATAGCTAAATGATAAATACCGATAATGTTTCTTACTTACTATTACTATTCGTTATTTAACTTACCATCATCATAATCATCTTTGAATGTATCATCTAACTCAAATGTATCACTAATTGAGAACATTAAAAATAAATAAAAAATCATAGTTAACCATTGCATTATGAGTAGATTTTTTTTGTAAATTTTCACTAACTGATAAATGAACTGGAGTTGTTTTTTTGATGTGTGGTTTCTTTGTTGTTTTTTCTTTCCTTTAATCAAGTGAATATTAAATTATGCAAATGTACAACAATGACTATTACTACCATATGTAATTCATTTTTATCCCGAATAAAATTTTCATGTGTATACTTATATTGTAAAAGGTATGAGATCTCTAATTGGTTAGTAATATACATATAATGAATACAGAATAATGAGCATTTTTCATAAACTATCTCTCTCTCTCTCTCTCTGTAGTAAACATTAATAATGAAAATAAAAGTAAAAAACAATTCATCTAATGTCAAACTGTTCACAGTATAGATCTACTGTTAAGGTGATGGATCAAAGCCATCATCAATGTATATATATATATCTATATGTAATAAGTTTTCTTTAATGGAGTATGTTTCATTGTTAGTCAAATAGAATATTATTTGTTCATGAATTACTCATGGGATGCATTCACAGTTGTGTTTTGTTTTTTTACAAGTGATTGTTTACAATTACATGTTATCATATTATAATGGGTATTTTCATTTTACACAAAAGTGAAAATAGTCAAACACTGATCATTATCGTGTTTTTCTATTATTGTTATTATTACTTGCCTATTGTGAAGTGATCACAGCATTATTTATTATAATTACGATGATTGTAGTACAATAATGCTACTATTATGTTGAATACAATGGATCAAATAGAGTGCTGATTTGAACAACAATGGATATAGGTTGTTTAATTCATATTGTTTTCAAAATAACAGAAAATATGATGTATATACGTTGACTGATTTAGAATTGGTGATTGAAAGAAAAGATTAACATTTCGAAGACTATATTACTATCTTAATCAGTAGTAATACTGATAGTGGTCGTAACAGTAGTAGTAACTGTTATCTTAAAGTTGGGTAGTCTCTAACAGATAGAATCTAGTTCAAATTCAGTAAACTTACTTCTCCTGATGAGGTTTAGAGTATAAGTGATAGTACTTCTATTATCACTAGAATATGTAAGCCAGTCTTGTTGGTTACGGACTGATTAATATGGGAAGCTTAGGATCTACAATTTGCAAAATAATGTATTCATTAGGCTTTTTTTACAAAAACAAGACAAACTAATTGGCTTATAAGCTTAATGAAGTAAAAAATAGATGTTGTGTACCTTTGTCATTCTTTTTTAAAAATTCACTGGCTAAAATTAAATAGTAGCTTTATTAATAGAAAAGTTACATACTTAATCCGTTGGATAGTTGTTTCACTAACCATCAGCTAGTTGACTTTGATTGACGCTAATAACCGATACTTTCTGTTAATTTATAACAGCAGATATTTCACTTCTTTGAAACAAAACACTCAGATCTATTACGAATCAATATACAGTAGATCTGACTATTGGAATAGTAAATGACAAATTACTTTGTTCTTAAATTTCACTTGATCTTATAAATACGTAAAAAAAATGATTAAATCATAATTAATCTGCGATACAATCTTGGTTGAGATCAGTTTTATAGTAAGTAGTTGTAAGTATGCGATTTAATTCCACTGTTATGATTACATTAGTTTTATTGAAATAAACTATTCATCATCAAACAAAGATTACGATTGCATATCAATATTGGATAACCATCGGGTTATTACGTAAGTTGAGTGAACTATGAACCTCTGAATTCCACCATTATGATCTAGAGTATACATATTAGCTACAATTTTCAAAGGTCTTGTTTATGTTGATAGTTCGTACTTAGATGAAGCAGTTGTCCAATGTTTTCTGTTTTTAATGATTCCCTACTTAGTATCAATCCGTAGTTAAGTCAGACATCCATCTACAGAAGAAGGACTATCTTAGTCGTTGTGAATACCAATAACATCACTTAGCAAACAAGTGTCGATGTACATTCACCCAAACAGGGTGGTTACATGTATTTCATAAATCACTCATTATTAGAAACTTACCACAGAAGAATTAAAATATAATATTGATAATGCTCAAATTCCATCCATTTCAACCTATGAAAATGATGTAGTCTATTCTGAAATTTTCCATCACTAATATTAGATGTTCACAAAATTTCATACCATATTTTTTGTACAGAAGTAAATAGGTAATGTCGTTGCCTGATATCTATAAAATGAACTCTGTTGAAGTTGATTTTTGCCTAAAGTGATTTTGATGGAGTTTTGCTCTCTGAGCTGGATGGTTTGGTTGTAGAGCTTTCATCGTTCTTCTGAACGACATCATCAGCACAAACTTTAAGTAGAGCTGAATTTTACCTCGATAGACACCTTGTAAATTGAAGAATATTAAATGAATATCTGATTTATACTTGAGTTAATAGTCTTAGTTTCCAACAAAATTGATCTCAATTTCTGGGTTTTTCTGTGAACATATAAAAACTAATTATTTAGATCTAAGTTCCATTTTACATATGCTTTGACTTTAGACATAAGTATTATCCAATTTAATTATTAAAAATGTATCCTTTCATTAATTCTAGTTGGTTACCAAATGGTTATGTTGGAAATTTGCGTTATTTATCTTTAGTTAGATCACAATAAAGCAGTGAAATTATATTCGTTTAATTAATTAATAATTTCAACTTGAAATGAGTAAAATAAGTGCAATATGGATAAAATGCCAAAAAAAAAGAATTAAATAAAAAGCACTGCTTAATATTAGAAGTTCTCTAGCTGATATTTAATTGAGACGAATGAACTCAACATACGTTGATGTAATTTAATGGTTGAATTCATGAGTCTATTAAAGCTAGACCTCCATGGAAAGCTTGGAAGCGCTGGACGGCCGTTTCATCGTAGTATGGGACTCCTCAGCAGTGAGCATCCACGATTCCGCTCCGTGAGATTCGAACTTAGGATTTACAGGTCGTATGTGTGAGCACCTAACCACTAGACCACTGAGAGGGCATTCAATGGTGTTAATGTCTTACTTCAACCAATCCACTTTGATGTGTCTAATAAAGTATAGGTGACCATTAATTTAAACTTTTAACTCTTGGTTGTTATTGATTTTCATGATCCATTAACTATGTAGGTAGTTATTTTTTTCGTTAGTTTAGTCATACATCCAGTACACGACAATTTATCAGTGGATTTTCGTTTACTGTTTATTGTTATTTAGTACAGTAATCAAATGGATAATCTAAGAATTTTTAGATTGCATATTAAAACAGTTGCTTACCATATTCTACTAATATTCTTTTTAATTTTGATTATTAATGCATATAAGTGAAGCTGTTGTGTGTGCTGACTAGTAAATAGAGAGATCTGAGTGTTTGAAGCAATTATATATATATATATATATATATATATATATATATATATATATATATATATATATATATATATATATATATATATATATATATATATATATATATATATATATATATATATATATATATACGTTATCGTTGAGCTATCCAGTATGTGGATGATCTCCTCAAAGATTGAGACATTTACAGTTGATTGATCACAGATATTATGTAAATGAAGAAGCGCCTTCGAGCAGACTTTTGATAGCACTTATAGATGAGGTGTTTTAGTTGTGTCAAATGAACACAGTAGTCCTAGATTTAATAAAAACTGTTTGTTTTGAACCATCACTTACCAACAGCAAGACAGATTTGTGGTAGAAGAGGAAATAACAGATCTGTTGGTAATATATAAAATTTACAACGAAGTAATTAGCTCTTGAAATTCTTCCTGTCTATACAATTGAAACAAAATACTGATTATTATACTTTGGTCCAATATCAAGGAGCTCTAATTAGATAGTTAAGGTGTTGGGTAAACCTCAATGATTCTGAGAACTACAACAAGAGATCGACGATGGATATTTGCTGGCAATCAAAAACAGGACACGCGCTTCGTCTTTCTAGGGACTAGTCAATTGTGTGTATCTACATCTTAACTTTGATGTTTACACTGAGATTCGGACGTAATACCATTCGCTTTAAACGTCCGCTTAGCTACTAACTCCTAATAGTCTCTAACCTATTCGATGGGGATAAATAAATAATTAAATATCTCTGAACTAACTAATTTTCATTCAGAATCTTAAGTTCACACTAGCTGTAGTGACCGAAGTGTAGGGTAAATCTGATAGCTTAACCTTTTTGTTTTATAGATAGTAAATTTCATAGGTAAGCTATTGCATGATTCCGTGTAATAAAGAAACTTATTGGAGTAGTAATGTATTTTCATTGCGCAACAAATTATAAAAGGTTACTCTCATAGAGTTAACTGTAAAGTGAGGAATAGTTGTGGTTAAATTAATCACGATTCATAACGAGAAAACTACTTAAAATCACTCGAATTATTGTTTAACAAATAATAACAAACATTTTTAAAAACAACGTCGTACTTATGTACCTACTAACAAATAATTAAAGTAGCTGAATATTATTATGTGAAAAAGAGAAGGAAGGAGTTCGAAGTACTTATTATGTAGTTGGCATTATATTCTCTTAGTTGTATCGCTTATTTATGTGACTTTCGTTGGTTTTCTGAACAAAACCGCCGGCATGCGTTCGAATGAACTGTGAACTATTCGAGTTTAAACACAACTAACTAACATCTTCTACCTGAGTTACAAACACCCTCTCTATCATGTCAACTTATTTAATATGTAGACCTAACGAGTAGAATCATATTTTACCTTTTTCACAAGATATATGACCATCGTCAAAAGTTGACACCAACTTATTCACTAGAAGATCGATTCAGTCAGTTTGAAATATTTATTTACAATAACGAAACAATAAAAATCCCTATAACTACCAACTGTTCCTCATTTTTTTTTCGAAATAACTTTGAATCGAAACTTCATTTAAATTTATAGCAAAATTGTGTGGGAGCTAATAGTGAAATTCAGGACGAGTTTTTCGTCCTGTTTAGTGCTCGTCAGTTAGATGTAGGTATATCCGAGGATTATTTTTCACTATGGGAGTCCAATTTCGTACCTTTCGCTCCAAATTTTCAATCCTCCATCCTCTTAGCTACTCAGTTGAGTGAACCATTGATTTGTACAGTGTTGTGGATCATAATTCATTTATATTGGTTGTTTGAATCTACTCATTAATATTCATTCAAAACTACTGTTATTTTTTTCGAACATTAATCGTAACACTATACGGGTTAGTAGTCCAATTCGAAATTCTGATAACTCATTTAATAGGTACAAGGTTAATGTACTAAACTACGAATCACATTTGCCAGTAATCGGTAATTATTGACAATACTGGTTTCCTGAAATCCTAATAGATGAAAAAGGATTTCAAATATATAGGGATGTTGAGAATTTATGTAGCTTAAGAAAATTTAGTTTCCACGAACATAAATTCAAAACTATTTCACCCGAAGCGTCTTTTTCTAATTTCCTCTTTAGTTGGAAGTTAGTTTGTTCTCACCCATAGTAGGCTGTTACTGATGGTATCCGACAAACGGACCTTGAGTATCTTGTGTAGATAACTGTTCATAGATACGTGTCCTCTTTTGATAATGATTGCGGTAGTTCTCCAAGTTTCAGCTCCGTACAGTACGCCTGTCTTGATGTTTGTAATGAAGATTCTAACTTTGATGTTAGTTGACAGTTGTTCTGAGTTCCATATGTTTTTCAACCGCAGGAATACTGCCCTTGCTTTGCCAATACACGTCTTTACGTCTGCATCAGATCCTCCATGTTCATCGATGTTGCCCAGATACGTGAAAGTTTCCACTAATCATATTGTTATTTTTAAAAACAGATAAAATATTGTAGACTAACTTTACTTGGTTTACCTATAAATAGTAATGCTCACACCTCTGATTCGATAGTATCATGGAATGTATTCTAAAAGGATGCCTGTAGGCAAAATGAAGGCTGTCCATGTGTTAAGTTATACAGCATCTGAAAGATATTTTGTCAACCATGATCTCACTTCATAAACTTGAGCTCTGGTCACACGAAGTATCTGCTGTAATTTGCAAGGTGACAAATACACTAGTATGGTATGCCCAAACACTTGGTCAGGAACAAAATACCGGTGACCAATTTCATTGACATAAAATACGAGATAGCCATGAAAATGTTATGATAATGAATCCATAAGTGTGTTCCTACTTTTCTCGACGGTGTACAATGAACTAATCAAACAAATGGAAGCTTCACCAGCAAATCACAGTTTAGTAGTCCTGACTAAATCTCAACTTACAAAGTCTGAACATTTATACTTTCCATTATGGTAGCCATTAGCTCATTGTGGTGGAGTAATATTACAAATCAGGTGAACAATAAAATATGGACCATAGAAGTTAAACTTAGCAGATTAAAATTAGTGTATTTGTCGAGATACATAAATATTCTGAGTTTAATCCTACAAATAGCTTTTAGTGCGCGTTGCTGAGAAACTTTAAACACGTATAAAACAACTGTTTAATGTTTTCTATTTTTGGAATGACAGTCAAGCCAATATCCATTCATCATAAACAAAAACTCTACCAATTATCTGAATAATTCAAAACTAATTTAACAGTCGAATGTATTATACATTACTACAATGGATTTCATTCTGTTCTAAATGCTACAATTGTAGTGTATTCATCAGTTCACCATTCCATTAATACTACTGTTCATAGAAAAGTAACTGATAAGTCTTGTCGATCGAACGCTATATTCTTTTTCCTAAGATATTCTGGTAACTCGTAGTCTGGAACTACACAGCGACTTGAACACTAGAGAGAAGACGTAAGTATGAGAGAAAATACTTTATCCTAAGGTTCATTTTTGTGCAGAAAATCATGGGTATTTATAGATGTTGGCGTCTGTTGAACCAACATCATATTTCAGCCAATTCGTTAACGACATATTATGCTACCGACCAATAGTAGCACGCCACGTTGGAATTCAAGAATGTTCCATCATACTCTGATTGGCTAGGACTCTTCGGCTCGTTTTGGGCCGCTGGAGGCTCCGTTGAAATTCTCCGGAAGCCGACTCAACAGTAACTAACTTAAATAACTGATGGATTAAAATTGAATTCATTTACACATTTATCTACTAAAATTAATTTCTACTCAAAGTCATAGAAATAGAGAAGCACCCCAGTTACTACAACCAAAACAGTGTTTATTATTATTATTCTAATATATTCTGTTCATGAACGACAAGTCAGTTAGTATACAACAAGCCAATTCATTCGAAATGAAGGATGAAAACCAAATGAGTGAATGTTTGAAATGGTTTTTGAATTATTAATTAATTATCAAATTGGACCAAGGATAAACATCTACACACACACACACACGCATGCACATACACACATATAAGATAAAAGAAAAATATAAAGAAAATGAAACAAACAAAAAACATACTTCATTGATAACAACACACAGAAAAAGTAGTAGGTTACATTTGAAACAAACAAAAATCCAAATTTATTTATTGCACAATAGAATTAAACTTTTTCACATAAATTGAAAGCGTCAAATTAAGTGAATAACACACATTCTATGGCTGTTTTTTTTTAATGTATACTGTGGACAGCAACCAAGATAATAACGCCAACCGAAATTATTTTCTCACAATAGAAAGGATTATATGAGATAAATATGATTTCTCATTTCAGAATAAACTCAACTAGGTAATAAGTGTCGATAAATACAATCATGTTTTATTGAAAAGTAGTTATTAGATCAGCTGATTGATGTTATATATATGTATATATATAGTAGGTAGCCATTATTGATTCAAATGACCGCTTTTTACACATAAAAACAACAAAATTAGGCGAAGTAATTAAAAACTATGTGAAGAAATATAATAAAACATAAAGAAAAAGAAAAAATAGGAATTTACATATGAAACCATATTCAATGTTCCTTTCATTATCTGTCAATCTTGTAAACCCCTGTTTATTGGTGTTTTCAAAGTTAGATTCACAGCCTACAAAATTGAATGTATATGAGAAGTGAAGGCTTGTCTGTAAGCGTTTACTTTATATATATGCGTATGTATGTACAACGAAATGGGAAAAACTGAAAAATTAGTGTTTTCCATTCAATGAAATAAGTACTAAGTGTGAGCTACAGGTGATCCTGTTAGATTAGCTGAAGTTGGACGTGTTGTATTACCGGTATTATTATTACTGATAGTTGAATTACTATTATTACTAGTGGTTGGAACAATTGAACGACGTGATTTTGATGTATCTTTAAGTGTTTTATAATTATTCCATCTTTCATTAATATGTTCAGTAAATGTTTTACCATTAGATAAGAGAAAATGTGATGAACTTTTCAATTCATATTGTTCAATAGCTGATATTGCCTCTTTTTCAGTACGTTCCACTTCTTTCAATAAACGTTTTTTCTCTTTTTCTGTTTTTAATAAAATACCACCACGATTAGAAAATATTGATGGATCTTTTAAACGAGCTTCAACATCAATTAATTGTTTCCAAGACGATTCATATACTGCAATACATTCATAGACAGGACGATATAAATAATAGGTCTGGTTTAATTGTTCTAATATAGTCTCTAAGTGATTAATTAATATTTCTGGATCTTGTTTATCACTGTCATTTGGTAGTTGAATAATTTTCTCATCTACACAACATAAACTAGCCAATCGTAGAGCTTCACTTTCAAGACGAGTTAAATATGTTTGCATATTTTCCCATTTCATTTGTTGGCATCGATCAACTTCTTCCTTGAAATAAAAAAAACATGAAATAAAGAAGAGTTGGATAGTGTTTCTTTTTAAATAAAAGAGATTATATTCATAAATTTTACTGAAGGAAAGAAAAAAACCATCCAAAATTCAGGGAAGGGTGTCATTATGATACTGTAAGATTGACTGTGGATGGATCAATAGAAATTTCTTGATACGAATGATCCAGATTTTCTTAATACGAACATGAAATAATGCAAACTCGATGATAGTCCAGTTATCGACACACAACAACACTTTAATGTTAATAATTTACACACCAATAAGAGGTAAAGAAGACTAGACTAACAAGATAGCTCTGTATTACAAATAGAGGTCAAATTTGGAGTCCAATAACTCTGTAAACATAGTAACAAAGTATAAACATGTTAAGAAAGAAAATTGATAAACTGAAAGTGATAACTAGTTTTCTAAAAACATTTTCTCCTATCCCATTGATTATATGAACTTTGAAGTTCTCTGAATAGCACATTGAATGTATTACGTATTCGACTATTGACAGAACAGAATACGGTTGATATAAACAAGTGTTAAATAATTATATGAATTTAGTAAACTTAACATTTTACACTGTACGATTCCGATGAATGGTAGAATAATAGATAAAGCCAACAAGTGTTTTAAATTATCATGTTGACACTCGGAAGAATGAACTTCTTCGAAAGTTTGTTCTTATCATCGGAGAACATCATTGGAGAAACATGTCACTGAGATAACTTTTTCATAACCATCATACAATATATGAAGATTAATCTTAATTGGAAGTTGAACTATTGGATCATCTATTATCTCATAGTGTATTGAATGAACACTCAGATGAGGAAAACCAATTACTTTATTAATGCAAGTTTACAATGTCTTCGTAAAATACGGACACCATACATTGAACACATCACTTGCACATCTCCCATCAATTGTAACTTCATCGTTCCTTCATTCTTGCTTTTGTTACAATTACTCTTCGCTTACACTTCTATTCTCGTCAATTTCATCTTCTCAACCTTCTGCTGCCAGGCGTTCCACTTCTGATTTGTGTTACATACTACTTATGTCCGTCGACATAAGTAGCATGCACCACAATAGTATAGGGTTCAGTATGAAATCTGAAAGATCTTAGTTTAATCTCTTATGTGTAGTGGTGAATCATAAACTGTTTAAAAATCCCAGGCTAAAATAAAACAGATATTTACTACTACTTCCAGTTTTCTATCACTGTTCATATGAGTTCAGTCCATATTAAAAATTCAGTAAACTTCACACAATACTATTCCATATCTAAATAGACTACATAGGATCACTTTCTATGGAGGATAAATTAAATTAAAACACAGCAATCTCATATAGGTTATCTTTTTTAAAATAAATTTTATTCTTATAGCGCAATAATTACAAAATCTTATTTGAAATATATCCTTATTTATTGATGAATAACTTCGATGATCATCTGAATATACTATAGAATGCAACTGTGCCAGAGTATGTCGATCATTACTTTGCCCCTCTTTTTTATATAAAAAGCATACTTAACAATAAATAATTTGCGTGAGAAAACAGAAAACCTCATGAAATAAAATAAAAACATAATGAGACTACCTGAAGTGCTTCCAGTGTTTCAGGTTTATAACCAGAATGCATTTCCAGGAATTCTTTTTGTTCTGATTCCGGTTTATCTAATCGTTTCCACATCTGTAACAGGTAAGCTCTTAATTCTTCACAAGTACCAACTAAACGAGCTTTCTCTTTGACTAATCTTAATCGCCAATCAGTTAACCACTGACAAAGAGATGTAGAAGAAGAGAGATGAAAATAAAAAGAATACAGGGAGAAAAGCTTTTAAAAAATAATGTGAGATGTATTGTCAATATTAAAAACAACGACAATAGAATGGAATCGATGGTATTATTGAGTTCTAAAAAGAATTACGACAAATATCATTTACGCCTATTGGTCCTCTAGCACATTCCATACCAGCGCCCAATCGGAAGACGAAGATAGCAAGAAGCTCAGTTCTCCATTGAACTCTATTTAATCACGACTTAAAACTTATATACCTGAAATGTGTGACCACGCAGAGATACAATTAAAGAATTAAAACGCGTACATAACTCAGTCATAAATGATAAAAAAACTGTAGTATTAAGAAAATAATTAATGGTAAATCTGGAGATATGTGAAAACGGTTTAGGGATCAAACGAAATCTTACAAATAGGAGGTTCCAAAAATTAACAATACAAGAGTTCACTAATTATGCAATAAAAGTATAAATGGTAACCCTTCATATGTTAGTTACAAAAGTTATGTTTTCACATTACTCGATGAATTACATCACCCTGTATCAATGAAATTTTGGCAGCACGCATGCTGTAAGATCTGTTTTTAAGAATGTTCGCGTTAAACGAGCTTAAACAGTTTAACCGAGAATAAATAAACACCGTTAAGATATGTCAATAATCACACTACTTATTGAGTCAACAATTTTTAACCAAATTCTCGTCGTAAAAGCCTTGTGAAAAATCACATACATACATGTGAATCAACGTCAGTTTGGACATTAACCAAAGATGGTAATCACTGGGACAATGTGCAATCGCAACAAAGGTAACAATCGATCGTTGAAAATTAAAGACCGTCATTTGTGTTGTTAGTCATTAAGGTCATTTATCCGGTGTAAAAATTACAGTAACGGCAAACCCTTATTATTACATTAAACATACTTTAGTCATTAAATTCTATGGATTTTTAAACAAAAATGTTAGTACATTAATAAACTAAAGTACAGTCTAACAGTTTGATTAGTTTTGTCATTAAGTCTGTATGATACTCGTGTTATATTACAGATCGATAGAACTGTATTTTTAGACGCCGATCTAGTGGTCCTGACAGTTAATAGTTCAATACAATTGAAGGTTTTGGATTCTATCCTTCATGGAGTAGAACAAAACAACTATCCAACAATTCATAATTTCTGGTGGTACAAAATTGAGATCAATTTGTGATGAATATGATCTTCTAATTTTGTCTGAATGCTATAATTAGTCTGTATATGAAATAAAACTGAATGAATAATGATGGTTTCTTATATTTTTTTCTCAACTAAAATCCAAAGCCAGATAATACTAAGCTTTATGATGAAAAATAGTATATGCCCACATAACACTTGTTTCAATCTAAGAATAACTGTAGTAAAAACAAATTCAATTTTTGCACCATATAAATTTCATTTGTAATAAAAGTGGATGAGGTATTTTATTGTGGTTAATTTACCTTACTTATAAGTAGTTACAAATCTATTCAGAAACATTTAAAATTGCATAGAAATTGACAATGTATGCAATTGAATTACCACCATAGAGAGAAGGATCTATAATATCGCAGCTTAAACTTACTATTTGTAACGCCTACATTGTAAAAACTTGCTGATTATTACATTGATATAACAAGTAAATGTATTGTTGAGACAAATATGCGTAGGCTGATGTGCATTGAACAAACTAAAGTAGTGTCAGTTGTGGTGTGTACAACTTATATTGACATAAGTAGTATATGATGTTAGTCGTGAACAGAAGGTCTGGCAGCAGAGAGACTAGAGGATCGAACAATAAAGAATGGAAACAGGATGCAATTTGTATGAAAATGCAAGAACAATAAAGTCTGAGTCATTTTGAGACAATTGATTGAAACATTTTGCAAATTAAGCATTTACTTTATGATTGTTAGATTTTATTAGCAAGTCCTGTAATTTTGTGTTAAATACATTCGATTGTCTCCACTGGTGTTCTTGTTTACTACAATAAAAAATCTCCATTACTTATCTGAACATATGCATGGGGACCGCCCCCCCCCAAAAAAAAAGATATGTACTATTGTTAATTTTAGGCTGACAGAATTTTTCATTCATCCTTAAAATACATGACGAAACAATTTATTGTACCATTGTTGTTCTGTTATATTTAGAAAGCGAACTCTAGATATTATGAATTAAATGTTAAAAGAATACGAATTGATTGAAACGAATCGAAATCATCTTATCATAAAGGGAATAAGTTAGAATATGAAACTAAGCCATTACATCATAAAAAAATAATGTTATTGTCTGGTATAGCAGTAGACCAAAATATAAATTAGGGTTTGTCAAACCAAAATTTAACATCAGTTCATGAGCGGATTGAATGCTGAAATGATTCATGTAAGTAGGTAGGTGGAGGCTGTCTGGTTGGGAGTCGGTGTGATTATTTTAACCAGTGGTTGGAAATATTAAATAATGTAATTCAGAATCGATCGTTATAGCATAAATGTATTCACTATTTGGATTGTCTTAGGTCTTGAGTATTGAATTATTTCATACGTCTTTTTCTTTACTCAGTCTTTTTCACTACTGCGACTATTATTACTGTCATTATTCAACTGAATGACAAAAGCAACTGGACCTGTAATCTAGTTAAGATAATGATGACAGTAATGAAAAAAATAGATATCAAGAAAAAAGAAAATACTTGTTTCACTAATTAACTGGAAAATAAGACCATGTGAAAATCGATTAACAACACTAACACACAAACATTACGTCAAATAATTTGAGTTGATACAATTATGTTAACATTTTTACGTGGTAATAAAACATTTATAGTTTATTTTTAAGTAGAATGGTATATTTCAGAGACAAATTGTTGATTAATTTCAGTCAAAATATAAACAGATTTCACCCAACTGCTTCTTACATATAGTGATGACTTGACTGAACTATGCTGGATGAAACATTCGCTCATTCAGATCCTACCATTATTTAAAAGTTGGTTGAAGAGCACTAGGGCTAAAAGCAGCAAACTAAAAGTCTGGGAGTAAGATTTTACTCCTAACTGTACAGAGGTGTGACGGTAGTAAGATGTTTCTCTCAGATAACTTGCATCTAGAGAGATGCTGCATTCTCAGAGAGTAAGGAAGAGCATTAGAACATGTCGATTGTAAGAGTAGTAAACCTCACCTTGACTCATATACTTCCGTTGTTGACAGTAATACCTGAAAAGTATGGAGCTTGGACATCACAAATACCATTTGCCATGAGTCGCAATCCGTTATCGCTTGGGCCCAGCAGTCAATCTCGCAGGTTAACAAGACTATTCCAAACCCAGTTTCCTTTTCATGTCCCTCAAGAAGAAGCATCTTTGCATGGTGATGAACCAGAAAATTACAATCATCATACCTCTAACAGTATTCAAGAAATACTTCAATATTGATAGTCCTAACTAATACGCTAGACTAGTCAATTTGTGAAGATTTGGACCAGCTGGTGTTAAACCATAATTTTTTGATACTATCCTTGATATATCCTTTCTATTCAACAACTGTTTCTTTCTTATTTTTTATTTGTGTGTATTACTCTTTCATTCACTGACTAACTGTTTATCAGCTTTCAGTCAGATGGATTACAGCAAGAAAAACACTTATAGTCCAACTAATTCAGGCAATTATATTAATCTTTTTTTTATTGAGATCATGAACCGATTGATGTTAGACCACCACTGAAAACCTGGAAGCACTGGACGTCCGTTTCGCCCTATTGTGGGACTGACTACTCAGCAATGCGCATTCACGATCCCGCTCACCGCCATTCGAACCCATATTGATATTTATATATTATTCATTATTACTAGAAATGTATGGATGATATTAAGACAGATTTTTACACTACATATTACCATGTGTATTATTATAAATAACTCGAATAGTACACAATTATTTAGAGAGAGGGAGAGAGAAAAAAACCGTTTTATTTGAACAATATTAAAATCCATGTGAAAAGTATCTTGTAAATTTTTTAGGTTAATGATTTGAAAATAAAATGATTATCATAGATGATATTTATAAACAATGAAAATAACATGCCATATACATGAATAGGCTGAATTAAATGAAGTTTTACATGAAAAGAATAAATTTATAATCATGAGAGAAGTGACCGATTCTTTTGTTTTCATAAATTATAAATAATGATTATTTCAAGTTATTGACCTTATGAACTGGAAAGATGTCTCGGTAGGATTGTAATAGTATTGACAAACTTACTTCTATACTGGACAAAAGAGTAGATTGCGATGTAGATATTAGCCAGATATATGAAGAATAACATGATTTAATTAGTTTAATCAGTTGAAGTTCCAAAATCTTACTAACCAATATATCATGAATTGATTACAATACTAGGACGAAACGGCCGTCCAGTGCTTCCAGGTTTTCAATGGTGGTCTAGCTTCAACTGACTCATGATTTCAATCTGTGAAATTTCTAAAATCTCCACAAAACCCATTCTGATTACAATTTGTTGATTAAATCATTCATCAGGTAATTAGGTATGAGCCACATTCTAAGTTTGAAAGTTAATAACAGTACTCGGTTGCAGAGTATGAACTTGAGAATTGATAGTCAAAATGTGAACAGTTTAACATCAAGGCCACTGCTCTACTTTTACTTAACGGTACTGTTATATCCGAGCGAAGAATAAATCACGAGTAACTTCTGAGACATATAAATTGACTAATATTATCTAAACATTCTTATGGTGTAATTATTCAATAATTAGATTATGTATATTTATATTCCTCTTATTATAAGCTTCATTTTGATTTATAATTTGTTATTATGCAATTTACTGTTCCTAAATTATGCTCAGTTTATTAACTACTGCCTCCAACGTTCACAGCCACTTTTTGGCTTTATTGTGTACAAATGTTATTTCCTATTTTATAGTGCGTTGCGGTCTGTTTGGTTGATATATAAACCCAGAATGTCTGAAATAAATGGTTCGATTCGATTCGCATAGTGGAAGCTGGTATTGGTGTTCTGGACTCAAGTGGACGGGCAAGGCGGAAATAGAACCAATTAGGATGCTAGGCTGCTCATACCGGTCGAACGTCATTGTTTTGGCACAGTGCTAAGATTGTATAAGTTGTGTTTTGATTGGTGGATAAATCATGTGATAAAAAGCCGGACATAAAGGTACAACAAGTACTCTACGTCCAGCATCAGAATCTTTCATTCAATAGAGTGAATATATAACTTGAAAATAAATTCTTTAAAAACTCTAAGCAAATACATAATATTTACTTACTCTAAGTATCTCTTTATTTACAACAGGTTCATATGTATCATGATTATTGTCTAAACCATTTGTAGTGACTTCTGAGTTTTCACTAGGTGTAGATATAGGCATAACACAATTTGTTCCATCATTAGCTCGTCTAACTACACCAGGAGTTGAAATTGAATTACCATTTTTGCATAAATGTTTTAATCCAACAATCGTTAAAATTTCAGCCTCTTTATCTGATTGTGGTTGATAGAAAATATCAGCTGCTACACGAGCAATATCTTCACGAAGTGCAGCGTGTTGATTAGCTAAAGGTGTATAAATTGATTGTAGTTCTTCATAAATTTTAGTAAGCTTTTCAATATTTATTTGATCTGGTAATGTTTGAATAGACGCTGAATAAGGTTAAATAAAAAAGGATATTATGAAACAGATATGTACACGTAATAGGAAGAGAAAACTTTTCGTAATAGTTATTGAATATCAATCGGTTCATGTACATAGAAATGTGGTCAAAATTTGTACAGCCTAGTATTCTTGGTAAAATTAGCTTATTTACGTTGGGTGGTTGTAAAAAACTGTAGAACAACTAGAAGAAGTGTAGGATGTTAAACAAATATCATTGTAGAACATAAAAAATATATAGTAGATGTATCCACATTGTTGCAACTGATTTCGACCCAATAATATAAAAAGTACTTTACCATTGATTGCAGTTGTATTTCTGACATTGAACGAAATCCCTACAATTATATGAGAAGATTAAGTCGACAGTCTTGTTTTTGTTACGCATAGTCCCCAACCTATGCGGTATAATACACTGAGTTACGAAACAGCGGGATATGCGCAACATATCCAAACCGTTCTAGTTTATGAACACTCTTTACTTCTGTGAGTGAGAACAAACTATCTTCCAGCTGAAGAAGAAATTAGTAAAAAACGCTGGAAGTTGATAGGACATACATTACAGAAACCATCCGACTGCATCACGAAGCAAACACTAACTTGGAATCATGAGGGAAACGAGGAAGAAGAAAACCAAAGAACACATTGTGTCGAGAATGGGAAGCAGACATCAAAAGGATGGATAGTAAGTGGGAACAACTGGAAAGGATTGTTCAGGACAGAGGGAGATGGAGAATGCCGGTTGGCGGTCTATTCTCCTCCACGAGGGGTAACAAGTGTAAGTTAATTCGAAATCCCAAGTAAACATATTAAAAGTCGAAGTTAAGAAGCTACTGGTTAAACAAAACCCCCTTGAATAATATGATAAACATATATGACAAAATCAACCATTTTAAGATTTCTTAGTAATTATCAACAGTTTGCCGACCAAAATGAATGAATTTAAAATAAAAGATAACAATATTACTTTGGATATCATACCACTACGGATTCGAGATAAAATCGGTTGACCTTAATTAGATGAGCTGCACCAAACTATGGATTCTGATAAGCTATGTACGTATGGATGGTCAATCCTTAAGGGTTAATATACAATGATTGCAGAACGCTCAATCAACTGATGTGATATCATGAAGTGGGACTTCGTAGTAGCATTAATTACATAATACAACATTCGCACTAGCCATCTGAACTTTAAATAACAAACTTTCACCAGTGAAATAAATCAAATTAAATGTGGATAGGTGTACATTTTAGATGAATATCTGGCTACAAAGAGCATTGATAGACATTTGAATTCAATCACATACATTCAAGAATGCCAACAGTAATTCAGTGTTTAATGCAAAAATTATATTTGATAGTTTCAGTGATTGAGGTTTAGATAATTTCAGTATTTCACTCGGCAAACTGAGTCTAAGATTCTTCAGTAATATAATAACTGAGGTTATTTCAAATATATATTACATTGTAATTAATTTCTTTATAATCGGCGTCCAAATTCTTTTAAATTATTCTCTTAAATTTTGACGAATATCAATGTCAGTCAGATGCAGTTGTCGATTCAAATTCCTTAGTGATAGAGGTAGTAAAAGTATGAGCAGTAATCGGAAAGATTGGGGTTTGAAGATGTTATTTAAGGAGCATAATCCAGTGAAATAAGTTTGGAAAGAGAAAAAGAAAAGGGACATAAAAAATACAGAAAACTAAAATTTGGAAGAACACAAATGGTAGATGCACCTGCACCATTGTAAATGCCTTTGAGCCATGTCATTCAAGGTCTCTAACTATCGGTTGCTATCATCTCGCGGATCCCAACCAGGTGGTTTACACCTAACAACATGGCTCAGTTAACTTGTCAGTGACTTCATGGATTTGTGCCATGTTTTGGTCTGGCCGCCCCCAGTTTTCTTCCAATCTACTCCTATACAACAAAACATCGCACATCGAGGCAGTCGGTGGTTGGGCATACGTAACACATGTCCCAGCCATCTCAACTGATGAAGTTTCACTACGTCATCAATTGATTTGCCATCCTAACCTAGTATCCGTTTTTTAAGAACTGCGTAACTTACTCGATGGTCCCAGAATATACGAGCAATGTTTCGAAGACACCTATGATCGAATACTAGTAACCTACGAATATCCTCTACTCTTACCGGCCATGTTTCACTGCCATAAAGTAGGACGGAACGAACTGCTGCGCAGTAAACACGTCCTTTGGTTGATAGACGGATATCTCGCCGACGCCATAAATGACGCAAGTTGGCAAAAGCTAGTCTGAAATGAATTTTTATTCTTTTTTTGTCTAACCAATTTCAATTCATGATGAAAGTTTAGTGAAAAGTAAATAGATGAACTTAGGAAACTACAAGATTTTATTTATCAAGCCTATCACTAACAATTGTAAACATAAAAACAAACTAATGAGTGTTATATAATAAAGAGACAGACTGTTTATTAATTCATTCTTTCATTTCAACAGGACACTACTATACATTTATTATTTCCAATATATTGATCAATTAAGTCATCCGTAAAAACAAAAGATGCACTGTATGTCCTAGATTCCATTTGTAGCCACGCTATAGGACTTTATTTAAATAGTAATCAATTCATGATTAAATTAATCACCTATGTTTGGTAAAAGAAGTAATAATATATCTTATGCTAAAATTTACAAATAAAGAACCTGATTATCATCATGTGGTCTGGAAAATTCAATTAGTAAGTGTCATGTTTTCTTATGGAAATAAAAACGACAATAAATACATGCATAAAAATCTGTCATCATTAATGATTGAAAAAATAATAATAAGAGAAAAATAGATTTTTGAAAAAAAATGCCATAGATACAGATCAATCGTAATGTAGAATTGATTCTAGTGTGATGAAACCATGGAAAACAAATAATTGAAAATAGAAGAAAAGTACATAACTGGAAGTTCAGAATGATATTTTTAAAAGACATGAAGTAATAAAACAGGTGCACCGTTGTACAATGATATTGTGATGTGTGCTACTTATATTGATATAAGTAGTATATATCGCGAGTTAAAACGTAATATCTGGCAGCAGAAGATGAGGTGAAGATCAAGAAAGGAAGAGCTAGAGCACAATGGAATTTGTAAGAAAACGCATGTACAATGGAATGGAAGACAATGGATTAGTGTTTGCAACGGAAACAGTCCAGTTTGATATGATGCATTGATATTTTGCAAATTGACGATTGACTTTATGGTATTCAGATTTTATTGAGTTAGTCTGTAATTTTTGCGATAAGTACATTTGATTGTCCCCACTCGCTTGCCACGCAGGCGGCTCGGATTCGATTCCCGGCCGATGCACCAAAATGTGGTGAACAGAACACGAGTGGGACAATCAAATGTATTTAGCACGAAAATTACAGACTATCTCAATAAAATCTGAATTCCATAAAGTCAATCGTCAATTTACAAAATATCAATGCATCATATCAAACTGGACTGTTTCCGTTGCAAACACTAATCTATTGTCTTCCATTCCATTGTACATGCGTTTTCTTACAAATTCCATTGTGCTCTAGCTCTTCCTTTCTTGATCTTCACCTCATCTTCTGCTGCCAGATATTACGTTTTAACTCGTGACATATACTACTTATATCAATATAAGTAGCACACACCACAATATTACATAAACATATAGTATACAGACTAGACAATCAGAATGTAGAGCGTGATTTTTGATTCTTTTTTGCGCGAAATTCAAATATCACGTTCAATAAACAGTAGAAATATCTTTGTATATTGCTCAAAACGTTTAGAATGATGACAAAAATATACTTTTTCTTGCCAGCATAGGGTTTAAAATAATATTGTTAAACGTGTTAAATGTTCAGTTCTTTTTCTGTAAATTGTTTTTCATAAGCAAATCAAATCTATCTCTGAAACCTAACTCGAAACATTTATTTACTAACACAAATCTTAACCTATTGGAGTTGTAATTTTATGTACGAACCAATCATATTTTATCTCTTGGATTTTTGAGTGAAATTCATTTATCCATGTGCTTACACAGACTTTTTGCATAATATCTGTCAGTTCATGACAAAAAATATTACCCTCAACCTCCATTCCTAACTCCAACTATGAAAAATGTAGAGACCCTTTATAATATATTTTGGTCCTTTTAAATGTTCGAGAAGACAAACAACCTATATCTATAAGAACGTTTTTATATCGTTGTTTTTCTCCGATTGGCAGGGAGAATCACCTGTGAAAGAGTTTACTAAATTGATTATGTAAAATCTGTTAACACTTCAATATATTTTTTTCATAAACTATTCATTTACAAAAGCCGTTTCTTTGATTGGCTAAGAACTGACTGAGAATTCTTGGCTGTTGTTTTACTGAGTATTTTTCTTTCGAAAATTGTTCACATGAAAATCAACATGACATTAAGATTTTCCAGTTAGCGGCCCATGTTCGAATGTTAATCATCGAATAACATTCATCATTTGACTACCAAAGTCCAAAATAAATCATTATTTCTACACTAAGAGAAAGATACGGCTTATATGTCATGGAATAGTGAAAAAGACTGTAAGATTCAACTGTTTGGTAAAATGAGTGGTTTAAACTTGTGCAGAAAACAGTTCCAAAATAAGCTTATTAACTATTTAATAGAAAGTATAAGGTCGTGAAGATTATTGAATTTCATTGAAATCCTGAGCTGATCTAAATTAGACTACCTTTTAAAACCTGAAAGTACTGGACAGCCGTCTCATGCTGGTATGAGGATCCTCTTCAGTATATACCTACGATCCCGCAGGAGGTGTTCTGGTGAGAAGCCGTGACCAGTGGTGTTCAACCATATCGGGGTGTGAAGCAGTTGCCCACCGAAGACAATGGAAGAGGGTTGTGTTATAGTGGATTGATTGGAATTAGACCTTAACACTGTTGGATGCTAACTCAGTAGTCTAGAGGTTAAGCGTTCGCCAGTTAGATAGGTCTTGAGGTTCGATTACCACGTGCAGGGTCATGAGTATGGATTGCTGAGGAGTCTCACACTAGGACAAAATAACCGTTAGATGCTTCTAGGTTTTCGAGATAATTTTGTATTATCAAAAATTGCATAGAGGTAAATTAGTGGATAAACCGCTCAATTATCGATCATCAGGCCACAATTTCGAACCCTTTAACATCAACTTTGGTTTAGATAGCTAGGTAGTGACTAATGTAAGCCTACATTAAATCTTGTAGCTGAGTCCGAAAAGATAGACCTACTTTTCAGGAGGACGGAGTTAATAAGTTAGACAAATCCAAATATATCAGGTGCCTATGTGCACAGACTAGTCCAATGTTAAATGGTAGGTGAGATGTAGGTATACGCCAATTAGTTGTGTATATACTGATTTAGGTCTCGGTATTATATATTCTTGTTCATTCCAGACTTCACATTTTACATATTCGTTTAGTTACTGTGGGAAGTGCGCAACATAACTGTACAGCTGTTTTATTCTGTGGTCCAATTTAGTTATGATGTATACTTTATTAATGTTAAGTACATTAACTTTTACTCAGTAAATGAGTCACATGTTTATTACTATTATTATCACTATTCAAAATCATATCACATTACTTACTAACATTAATAATGTATTTGTGCTTAAACAACAACACAATAGAATATCATATTTTCACAGTTTTTGAAATCATGAGTCAGTTGAAGCTAGACCACCATTGAAAACCTGGAAGCACTGGACGGCCGTTTCGTCCTGGTATGGGACTCCTCAGCAGTGCGCATCCACGATCCCGCACCACGCGGGGCTCGAACCCAGGACCTACTGGCTTCGCGCGCGAGCACTTAACCACTAGACCACTGAGCCGGCATCCAACGGTGTTAATGTCTAACTTCAACCAATCCACGAAGTTCGCCACCGTACACCATTGTCTTCAGTGGCGCAACTTCGTGGATTGGTTGAAGTTAGACATTAACACCGTTGGATGCCGGCTCAGTGGTCTAGTGGTTAAGTGCTCGCGCGCGAAGCCAGTAGGTCCTGGGTTCGAGCCCCGCGTGGTGCGGGATCGTGGATGCGCACTGCTGAGGAGTCCCATACCAGGACGAAACGGCCGTCCAGTGCTTCCAGGTTTTCAATGGTGGTCTAGCTTCAACTGACTCATGATTTCAAAAACTGTGAAAATTCTAAAATTCTCCACAAAACCCATTCTGATAATAATATCATATTTATTAGGAGATAAAAACAGAACTGTCATGTAACATATAGGAAATAATAATAATAATAACAGGTGAGCTGGTGGTAAACTTTGACTATTGAATACGGGTAGAACATATCGACTGTGAAAATTTTTTTTCAATATTTACTGAATAATCTCACAATTTGAATGTGTTAGACAGATAGCTTTTTCAAGATGGCGTATTTGTTATTTAGATTTACTTACTTTACTCAAGTGTTTGGTAATAAATATTAATAATTATTATTATTAACTTGAAACATAAACTCTACCTAAGATCTAAGTAACCATAATTAACGAGTGGTAATGGTGCATTAGTGGTTAAAGTACTCAGCTTTCAAGTAATGAGTAGCGAATTCAAATTTTATACTACCCACTTCGATTTACATAACCAGATAGTATCACTGACGCCCTACACAGATAGTGTGGTTTAAATCTAAACATAAAAACCAGTACATGAGCAAATGATTGAGTTGGTCAATTATAAATACCATAAATTGTAAGTACTATAGCAGAATGAAACAAATGAACACAATTAACTTAATACTCAATAGCATTTGATCCTTTGGCAAAAATAAAATAATGAAAAATAATGTAATTGTATTAAAAAACTAAGAAGAAATACAATATGACATTCTTCAGCATAGTAAAGTGTTGATATTTCGTTTTTTTTAAGTGGTAGACTGTTATACCAGACGGTGTGTTTTGCTCATATTCATATTTCAATATTCTAGTCTGTGGAGTGTTAGATAATACCATCATCTACTGATCAATTATACTTTATATCGAATCATCAGATAAATTAATTTAGAAGCTAATAGACAAGTGTTATGGTACTGTAGTGTCAGTTATTATGCCAAGCCCATATACCTTATTCGAGCTTTCGGACATCCCATTCTATTCATTTTACTTGAGCCATACATTGACCTTGTTATTTATTCGCTTATCAATCTAGACTGTTTTTATATGAGCGTATATGTGTGTGCCCTTCTTATTCCATTAATCACATGTCTGTAGCTTTATTTTGTCTGACTATAAATATTGAGTAACACATGACAAAGATGGAGTTGGCTTCCCAGCCATCTTCCCTGCGTGTCGTTTTGCTTTGCTATGTTTCATTCGTTTCATGTACGAAATATATGTATTCTCAAGTCAATTCTCGTTATTCGACTTATTTAATTCCGTTATTGGATAACGCGATTCAAGTCGACGATGATATACGAGAATCAGCGATAGCAAATATTTAAACAATCTAAAAAGGAGTCAGATTCACCGAGCCACCTCAGTACCATTAGGTAGTACAATGTTTGTTTACCTTTACTCCTCAAAGAAGAATAAACTTTTAGTAATAATAATGTGAATCAAAACTATGAACTGACAAATACTCTGAAAAAGGATGCAAAAGAAACAACTTAGTCTATTTTTCGGATAAGACTAATATATCAGAAGGGGTTTTATGGAGATTTTAGTGATCCCAATAGTTGAAATTATGAGTCAATTGAAGCTAGACCACCATGGAAACCTGGAAGCACTGGACGGTAGTTTCGTCTTAGTATGGGACTCCTCAGCAGTGCGCATCCACGATTCCGCCACGCGGGATTCGAACCCAGGATCTATCAGTCTCGCGCGCGAGCGCTTAACCTGCTGAGGAGTCCCATACTAGGACGAAACGGCCGTCCAGTGCTTCCAGGTTTCCATGGTGGTCTAGCTTCAATTGACGACTCATAATTTCAACTATTGAAGACTAATATAGACGAATAATTCATAAGTTTATTCAAATTAAGTTGTTAAGTTGTTTGAATAGGTAAACAAACAAATAGAATGAATGATACACGTTCCATTAGTCAGTTTCTAACACTACATTCAATGGACGTTCATAATTCAGTTAACTGAATTGCATTGTGTATTATAATTCTGTGACTTAACTTGACGGATAATTTATTCAGAGTGTTCACGCTTAAGAAAAGCACTTGACATTCACGATTTGGGATCTCAGAGTTTTATATTTTAGTAACACTCTTACAATTAATTTTGATAACCGCTAATCCCTGTCAGATCCTTTCATCTGAGATACAATGTTATCGATATAGTAATGATTCGTTTATTTCTTTGTATTAGTAGAATCGCTATCGTACCTACGTAAACTTGTATATTTTAATGTTTTTTACGACCTACGCATATTTCTGTTTAACTCAAATATTGATTGCTTAAATACAGCTCAATGTCTTATTATCTATCCCTCATATATATGTCCTTGTATTATAAAAACAAACTGTAATTCGATTCGCCTTGCCTTTATTTGGTATGACAATAAATTTTCCTTTATATTCGCCTGCAATGATTCGTTGATCTTTTCGCTTCAAATCCGTCTGTTTGTAATCTTGTGGTCCGCTCGATCAGCTAATAAAATGTAGTTGCAACTATTAATCGCCTTCTGAATTCAATCCCGTGGGGTCCCCCGTACTAACGGTTATCATGGTTAACGTTTAACGAAGCTACGCACACTACAAAAAGTTCATAATGCCTACTATCCAACTGGACAGAAACTTTATAAATTAAGAGGTTGTATACACAGCAGCGTGACTTCAAAAGACCCAGATTCAATCTTCCATGAGATTGATGATATACAGTGCTGACAAGCCCTAGACTGTAACTACACGCCTGCTCAATGTTTTTTTTTATTTTCTGAGATTTCCAGATGAAATCAATATTCAAAAAACAATCTTCCTAAATTTAGTTATTATTCTAAAAGTGTTCACGATTAAATCACTAATAAGTATAAGGAGAAAAAGAAATCAAAAATACACTTACAAATTAGCGAAGGATCTAAACTTTCATATTCATTTGAATGACCATTTTTATCCGTGTTATTTTGATCAATACAATTCGATTGTCCAAAAAATTTTATAATCGGTGGGAAGGTAGTGTGAAAATCTATATCAAGCTTATGTTTTGTAATATCCGATATTTGGTCACCACCCAATAAATTATCTAAATGTAATATCTTCGATCGTAACCAACAATAACGTTCACATCGGGCACTTTTTTGCTGAATTAATTCTTCCGCTTTTTCATCCAATGACTAACAATGACAGACAAAATAGAGTGGGGGATAAATTTTATGGAAAGAACTATTTTCTAATGAATTACATTCTTGTTGAGACTTTCAAATTAAATTGAATAGACACGTTATAACGGAGGGAGGAATACGACATGAGAAGACATCGATTTTGTATACATTCGTCTAACTGACTAGAGGGAATATCTATTGTTGAGAGTACAATCGAAGAATCTCAAAAAGAAGGGGTTCGATAGTCAAAATTCATTAGGTTGAGAGGAAGAGAAAGAAAGAGGACAAACCTTAAAGGTGACAAATGAAAAAAAACGTAGGACTGGGCGTGGTAACGTGCCGATTCAAATGGCCCAACTCAAAATATCGTCGTATCTTAAAAAAAACAGATTCTTGATTTGTACAGACTTGTGATCGGGCTATTTATTATGGTAGCAGTTATACTATCCAGTCCAATTACTGGCTTATTCGCCTAAATTACTAATAAAACCAGTAACTTCTGAAGGAATGAATCACTAACAATGAATAATAACTAGAGAATCTAAAAACAAATTGGCCTTTTCCAATCACAAGATTAAGATAACAAGTAGATCAATTCTCCATTGTACTCTGTTCACGCATGAATGAAAAGCCACACAATAATATATCTTAGTAAGTGACCGCGTAGTAACACAATTAGGAAATTGCAATGTATACACAGCTCAGTCATAAGCGATGCATAAACGAAATAATTAGCGATAAATCTGCGACAGTAAGACATACAACAACGACTGATAGGTCAATCAAAAAACTGACAGATAAGAGAAGACAAAAATACAATATTTCAACCATATAAAAATATACACCATAATTCTCGGTACAATAACTTTCGTGAGCTCAATTTTCCATAAATCCTCTTTCCATATAGCAAAAATACAGTGAGAAGAAATAAAAATACTCGTCAAAAAGAACAGATAAAAAGAGACGAAAAAATGAAAACAGGATAAAAGGAAAGAAATTAAAATCAATAAGGAATTCATTTAACTTAAAGTACAATAAATATTAAACATAACAACATTCACCTAGGTCATTTTTGAATCATATCAACCAGTAAATATAGATCTTGAGCAATAACTTTTTTTGTTCAATATATAAATCAAATGAGCCGTCAAAAATGTCTTAACCTGAAGTTTCTTCAACTCTTTCTTATTTCCAGCTCATTTAATGATTTGAACTTAGCAATGGATATGCATATTACATATGATAACACTTTTAAACCATTAGTTACAGCAAGTGATCAAACTTATTAGGTTGAAAAGAGAAACAAAGGATTTTAATAATGTTTAATGACTAAAACAATATTTAAGCAAAGATGGACGGTGGCTAGCAGTAAAGGACGAGCGTTTCAGCTGGATGTTCACTCTGGAACTCGAGTCCAGTATTAATTCCTGTCGTAAACATCAATGGAGAGATTCAAACAATCAGTATATATGTGAATTAGAATTAAAACAATATTTATTTCAAGCAATATCAATAATGTTTTTGTAAGCAATGATGAATAGTGGCTAGTAGGGGAATCCAGGACGCGCGTTTTGTCCTATTTGAGATTCGTCAGCTAGATGTACTGGCATTCCAGAGTTGATGTTCACTCTGGGACTCGAACCCAGTACCATTCGCTTCAAACGCCATCGCGTTATCCACTCAGCTACTGAATCGTGATAGCCACTTGCTTGTGCAATGCGGTGAATTTGAATTCACTTGGTATTGTTTGGCTTGTATCTTCCCAATAAGGTTTAAGACTGCAATTGATCAGTTTGTTATTGGCATATGTGGAATGTACAAATCACTTTAAGTATACAGTTACTTTAGGTGTCAATGTTACCAGTTTTATATCTAGAATTTTTTATTGAATGATCCTAATATTGTTTCCCATTAGATGTTGAATGTAATTTAAGCTATTTATAAATTAAAAATACTGAAATATTTAGGATAAATCATGTTGTAAAAAAATATAAAGAAAATTATGAAGATAATAAACCAATAGTATTAGACATGACAACTGTACAATGTAGTCTTTAATTGATTTGTTAAAAGTTCTAATAAGAGATCAGAAAACTTTCGACTGAAATTCTGATATGAAATTATTGTACACACACACACACACACACACACATACACACAATTAGGACATTTTATAATAGATAAAATGAACAATGTAGGCTGGTAAATATTTTCATTGATTCTTGAATTTTGAGATTATTATGCGGAAAATTTCTTAACATTTAATAATACTTTGAACAGTTGTCGAATGGATAAATTTAAGTGATCTCAGAATTAAAAATGTTGCAGTCATTTTAGTTTTAAGCGGTGGATGTTTTACGGATGTACTTTCATACATGATGTTTTCTAGATGTTAACCTTAACTCACTCATTTACCAGGTATGCAGGTACTTAACTTCAAATCACAGCCTAAATGTTAAGGGGCTAGTGAAACTAAATAGTCGTCCAAACTGAAGTAAGTGGGGTGGAATGTGAACCTACAGCTTTGAATCAAAGTCGAACGCCCTATCTACTGAACCATCGCACTACTAATTGACTTCTACGTATTCAGCGTTCAATCTTCGTGAAACTACTTGTTCAAATATAAATTAATTAAAAGATAGTTTGATTCGTGAACTGATATCAATCATACAGACAACAAGATCATGGTAACAGCCATTTTCAAATTATATATATATTGCTGTTAAGTCACCTGTGTAAACACTTGATTAGTGTTTATATTTATTCACTGATATTTTAAAGTTAAATAACTTTTAATATACATTTGCAAGTCGATATGAGTGATTTGAATTTATACATTACATAAAATGTTTCAATAAATAGAAAACATATCTAGACGTGTTAACTTCTGTCTAGGACACGGAATAAAGTGTTCTACTAATATATCAATAAGTTGTTGCCGAACGACAATTCTTATGACTTTATGTCCGGCTTTTATCACGTGACCTACCCACCAATCAAAATACGACTTATACAATCTTAGCACTGTGCCAAACCAATGACGTTCGACCGGTATGAGCAGCCTAGCGTCCTAATTGGTCCTATGTTCACCTAGCCCGTCCACTTGAGTCCAGAACACCAATACCAGCTTCCACTATGTGAATCGAATCGAATCATTTATTTCAGACATATCAACCAAACAGACTGCAACGCACCATAAAATAGGAAATAACATTTGTACACAATAAAGTCAAAAAGTGGCTGCGAACATGGGAGGCAGTAGTCACTAAACTGAACATAACTTAAGAACAGTAAATAGTACAACAATAAATTATAAGTCAAAATGAAGCTTATAATAAGAGGAATATAAATATACATAATCTAATTGTTTAATAATTATACAATAAGAATATTTATAGAATATTAGTCCATTGATAGTCCTCGAAAGTTACCTGTAATTTAATCTTCACTAAGATATAACAACAATGGATTTGAATTTTTTAAAATTCTCATTTCAGCATTTTTTTTTCGATAGAAGAGAAATCATCCACAAATCAAGGATGAAATACAGGAGATTTGTACACAAGAGAACGGTGTACAAATATATCACTAGGAATATCAACACTTCTTTCTTAATCAGATTTATGCAACAAAAACAACTGTAAATAAACACTCTATAAATATATAATTGACCTTTAACTTATGATAAATACTATCGATTTAGACAATGTCACATACAAAACCATTATGTTGTCCGAATAAACAAATGAATAAATATAGTCGATTTCTAACGATGAAAAGTTGTTAAAACAGAATCACCAGTGAGAATCAATCGATCAAGATAATTGATGAGGACTACTGTTGATATTCAACCATATATGTGTATATAATATAAGTAGCTTAATAAGAAAACAAACAGGCTGAAATACTGCAAAATGCAAACATACAATAAAAAATAAAATTACATCTAAACACATACAAAAAGTAGGGGTTTAATCAAATCCAATTTAAACAACATTAATTTATAATGATTGATAATGAGTATTGTCTCATGAATTCAATTATTGAATATTAAGGTTATGATTAGATTATGTGTTGATATCTTGTCGCCGATTCTTACAAGAGAATAAGTTAACTAATTCAGTGACTTTGTAGAGAATTTGTGTAATTTCAGAGGTAATTCCTATCATGAATGGATATCACTTAGAGGAACACTGAAAACAGTTGAGCACTCAAGACCTACCTATATAGTCGCATACGTTTTAAAGTCCTACGCAATGTACGCATTGATCCGTTCATCAATTACTTCACATACATCTGTTACCCCTCGTGGAATATCAGATGCCCACCAGGGTTCTCTAACCAACTCTGTCCTGGGCTCTCCTTTTCAGTTTTTCCCAAGAGCTGTTCATTGTTTTGATGTCTGCTTCCGTTTCCTAGCGCACTGTGTCCTTTGCTCTGTATTTACTCTTATTTTGAAAATACCAGGTTAGGGAGCAATCTGCTAATTTTCGCAATCTATGTCCTATCCACCTCCAGCATCTTTTCCTGATCTCCTCTTCAGTTGGAAGCTGGTTCGTTCTCTCCCGTAGTAGGCTATTGCTGATAGAATCCAGCCAACGGATCTCTCACAGAAATTTGATTAAAAATACCTGTACCTCCGCCTGGAGTTCTGATGTTACTGCTGATTCCAAGCCCGGATAAAGGGGAGTTGAGCAAGTCAATCCCACAAAAAGGAACCTTCCCAAAAAAACGCCCTTCAGTCCATAGGAGATAGTAAATCAAAATTTTTCTCAAGTTCACTGGGCAAACACGGGATCATTAAGTCGATATTCGATGAATTAATTTAATATATGGTGATATAGAATGATTCTAATTCACTATTATCGATTAGTTACTACCTCACTTATTTTAACATGTATATCGACCTAAAATACAATCACTTGTCAGCTAGACATATACCTACGCTTCATAGAATGTTAAGTGTCATTAAAATGCAAACCTAGTAAACATGTTTTTAAAACACAAAGTGTTTTTCACTAGGTTTTCAAGAAAACTATTTGTCTTGCTTGTTAAGGAAATGCAAACGACAAGTATTTCATCACGGCAGTTATTGTCCTCTTCATGTACATTATGGTATTATTATTTATATGTAATCTAGTGTATAGAATTCGGGATATCTTTTTTACAAAATTATTTTCAGCTATTCTAAAAATTATCATCGCACAGTGTTTGTTCAATTTACTTCAAATCTATTTTAGCCATAAAAGGATGGAATCCAGCTTCTTGCTGAAGTTCAAATCGATTATTCAATCAAACTGTAAGAAAAGTCTCTCATATTAGTAAAGAAATTTGGGAACAAGATAATACAGAATGAAAGAAAAGATCAACATACGTACTCTCATTAATTCACTGGAAGTAAGTCCACGTTCAGGTAGGAATGGTGCCAAACCTAATTGTTGACACATATCAGCGATTTCTCTACGTCTTAATTCAATTTTTTGTTCCATCATAAGACGTGCAGAATTCTCTTCTTTAATTACTTCGCATAGAACAGTTTCAAGTTTTTGAACAAAATGTTTTAGACGTTGTGAACGTTCCAACTTATTATAACCTGGATGATGAATTTTTTAAATCAATAATAATAGTAACAACTAATACTAAAAAACACTATTACAAGACATATATATATATATATATATGGTGGAGAAGATTTGTAGCTCAGGTGGATGATTTTGGTGGAGTTTTGTTCTCTGACGACCAAACCATCCAGCTCAGAGAACAAAACTCCACCAATATATATATATATATATATATTCACAAGATAAAATAGAACTATAATCCAAAAGAGTCCTGATACAAGCTTGAGGCAAGTTAACCACTGAATATAAGATACCTTTATGCTCTGGAATATTGTAAATCAATAGGATCATCCCCTCACCATGCATAAGTTTATGTGCTTAAATGTGAGTCAAATTGTTTGTATATAAAAGGTTGTGATACCGGCTAGCTGGCTAACATGAATTGTTTGGAAACAGGGCTTCAAATTCTAACGATCGGTTAAATATCGAGCGATTGAATTATCAAATAGATTACACAAATGTGTTTTGGTGATATATATATATATATATATATATATATATATATATATACACCTCAAGTTCATACAAACTACTTATAAAAAATATCAGTGAGTATTTGATTAAGATCTTGTGTGATGTATGAAGGAGTGTAAAACTTTCAATACATATAATATTGCAGGTGTTCTCTTACCTAAAGTACACTAAATAGCATAAAACGTAAGTCTGAACATTCATAACAAGTCACTGAATAACATCTTGAATCCCAATAAAGAAGTTTATAATGTCATGTCATTTGGTTGAATGGCCACAATACATTTATTGGTTGATAGGATGTGAGAATGAGATTGATTAAAATTTATCTACTAATACTTCAAAAATATACCAATGATTGAAAAACCTACTTACTTGGGATTGATTTTCAAGAAATAACAGTAATCCATACATATATACTTCAATATAGAATAATGTATTGAAAATGGTAAGATTATGTCAAGTGAACACTACTGTGGTGGGTGCTACTTATGAGGACAGATATTAGTAGTGTGTAGAAGGAATCGGAAGTGTAATACTTACTAGCAGAAGACTGAATTAAGGAAAACAAAGAGTAATCGGAATAACAACAGAATTGGAAGAATGATCAATTATTTAAAAGACAACTGAAGGAAGATGTGCAAATGATGTATTTAATGTATGATTTTCATATTTTACAAAGGCACTGTGTGATTTTGAATGAAACAACCGAGATCATTCATAAAGTGGAATTCAGTTGATGTAATTAATTAATCACCTAGTTTGATATCAGAAATAAGTACATAAAATGTTAAACATGTGCACTCGTGCCATAATTTGACTATATACTTGATATAAAGATTGAATCAATACGTTTGGGAATTTTAGTATTGAAAAGAAACTGCAGATATTCGCACTTTCGTACTATTGAAGCGAGAGCTCCATTACAGTTGTACATCTCACGACAAATAGTCACTACCCTGTTATTGACTCAATAACTTAACCCACAATTATATAGTTGTTTTACATACATCCTATTTCTCTACAGATTTCATACTCAAAAGCATTTGTCCTTACATTGAGTTTAATCTTTACTTTTCTCAGGGAGAAATGAGAATTTCAACCAACACACACAGTCTTATCGACGCGCAGAAATCTTAAAGCAAAAAATGGGGAAAAAACTCATTTAACAAAACCTTTTTATATATGAATGGAGTTACTTCTTTAAAACACGTATTTCAGAGGAAGTAAAGAATTCTTGTTATATAACATTCGATAAGAAAAATAAAGCAAAGATGAATTCCAGGAAGTTACAAAGACAACAACATATCTCACCCACATAATCCCATATTCGTAATAATTCATTTAAACTAGGTCGAATTGATTGAATTAATTCGTTTTCCAATCCTTCTGTTTCCATTAGTATTTACTGCTTGAAATTCAATTATAGGAAAAAAATGAAAAAGTTAGAATGAATGAAAAGGGTGTCTGATTAGAAAAAAATAGTAATTATAATAACTCAAGTCAACGTACAAATAAACTTGAACAACCAATCATTACTCTCGAATAACACATAGAGGATAAACTATAACCTGTGGATGCTAAAAGTATGTGACAGATAAATACAGCACTTTAGAAAACGATTATTAAATATTCGGTAAAACAACATGTTACTAAACTACCCAATTATATTGAGATAAGAATGAGAGTGTAGATGTTAGGGTTAAAGAGAATTTTAGCTGTACTTTAATGAATTGAGAATATGTAAAATATTCAACGCTGATTATTACAGAATAGATATTTATTGTAACAAAATAATAAATGGAAAAGTTATCAGGACAATTCACGAATATGTAGTTATTTTTCTCCCTGGATCAAGAATTTCGGGGTAATATTCTTACTAGAAAAAGGTTTCTGCATTCGTTAACTTCATTCAAATTTCTACGGATTGTTTATTTGGTATTTTAATAGTTGGATTCATAAGTCGATGTAAGCTAGACTATCATCGAAAACCTGGAAACACTGGACGGCCGTTCGCTTCTAGTATGGAACTCTTCAGCAGTGCGCATCCATTATCCCACATGCGGGACTCGAAACCAGGACCTTTGGTCTCGTACGCGAACGCTTAACCTCTAGACCACTGAGGAGGCGTCCAACAGTGTTAATGTCTAAATTCAATCAACCCATGATCTTGAGCAACCCTTCATTTGGTATTTTTTATGTTTTTCAATTTTATAGTATAATAACACCAAATTTATGATTTGGAAAAGATGTTGTTTTTCAAAATGGAACTGATATTGAAAATGAGAAAATGAACTTTGTAGTCAGATAAATTAGTCTGTAAGTTGATGAAAAATTTACACAACGAACCTTGTCTTACGGTCTTTTATATTTTAAATACCTTATATATATGTCTGTTCTGTTCAGTTTCAATATAAAAGCTAGTGCATATTACTTTGCTGCATAAGAATAAAACATTTTCCTAGCCACTTGTTGATCTATGTTCTTATATTTATTCACGCTTGGTCCCTCTGATATTACTTGTTTACTTTTTGTAAGTCACTATTATCCAGTTAAATTTCACTATTAGTTGAAACAATCAACTGTTAATTTATAATATGTATTGTTTTTTTGTCTATTGTAGTAGAAACAAAATGGTAGAACAAGAGCTCAATTGTTCAATTTCTTAACTTAAAATCATCGAATCATAGATTTGAACTTTGTTAAGCCAAATGGCAAATGGTCGAAATCTCTAGTTCTTTTCAACTAGGATATATTAGGTCTGATATATTAGTTTTTACTAAATTAGTTAGTTATATTATATAAATGACGAAGTTATTATGAATCCTGTACGTATGTCACTGTAACCCAGTGGATTCAGTACAAATAATGCATCACTGTTTGTGATTAAACAAAACGTTTTCTCTATTGATCAATGGGCTTATCAAATAATAAATTTTACTTAAATGTTTACTTAGAGGTTTCATCAAATTGGAGATTGTTATTTTAGGATTGTTTATTTACAGAAATGTTTATACAGCCGTTCAAAGTCTATTTGATGGATCCAAGTCGATAAAATGGAAAGAAACACTGGCTACTTAACATTTGGATACAAAAAAAAACAAATACGTAGATAGTATGTTATTTCGCGAACAATTTTTATGCAGTTGAAAAGCCATAATGTTGCATAAAGCACTAGACAACAGTTTACTCCTAATTACAAGCTCTGCAATAGTGCTTACTGCCAACGCAGGAACCCAGGAACTTTAAGTTCTGAGATGATTTATTCATCAAATTCATTTAATATGAAACATTTTATGGAACAAAATCATCAGGTATCACAGTTCATAAACTCCTTAAGTTTCTATGGAATTAATAATAAAGTAAGAAACTAATGACGACTGTATACGGCTTATGAGGTGTCGTTTAATAAAAGGATTATTTGAAATTGAAGTGATATCAGAAGGAAACTCGAATATAAGCAAGTAGATTATATATTTTAATATGAACATTATTGTATTCTCAATAATTCATGCAGACACCTTGAACATATTTTAAACAAACTAAAAAGAAAGGATGAAGTATTGCATTTTGCGATAGTTAATTTTTAGCATATATATATATAAATATAATTAGTTGAAATGTTTATCTTTTTCAGTAATGAGTATTGAACTCGAGTCACAGTAGAAAGATATACACTAGAATACCATGATATACACCTGGTGTGTCCTAAACAAACCGTGATGTGAATCTTGGCAAATGTAGGGTTCAGTAATGTCGTAAATGTGAGCAGCATAAAGACATCTATTCAAAAGCCCACTATACCGATGGAAATAGAATAATTCAATTCTGAAAGTGACATGGAAACAGAAAGATCTGAAAAGTCTTTTTTTCGGGTTTGTAATGAGTAACTTTCCGATGTTTGAACGTACACTATTCAATTAACTCTATTTTCCGCAAGCATTTCAATGTTAAACATAACGTCGTTACTATCATTAGTATGTTAATTAAGCATATGTATTTTACATTAGTAAAGTGTATGGTAATAAAAAAAAAAGAGTTTAATCTATAGATTAAAAACACATATACATTTATGTCCACATTCTAGCATGGTTATGTGCATGCCCAAGATAGTTTGATCTAGCCTCCAATCACATAAATTGAAGTACCCTTTTTATGTTTTTCGTGATATATATATGTCTGCCTATCCTACTTTTCTTCCTTATAGCATCGATCGTAAAATGAGAGTTTTGATCAGTTCACAAAAATCCTAATTATATGGTACATTTTTATCTCAGCTGATGCTGCTAACAGAAATACGAGTTAGGTCCGAAAAATCTTGTGAACACTGAAGTATGGATGAATTATTTGACGCAACTATTTAATATGTATATACGCAGTAATATTAGTAATAGGCAAACAATTTATTTTACCCTGCCCTGTTGCAGGACTATACAATAACACAAATTCATGATGCTAATTAAGAATAATTTTGTACAATATGTATATTGAAAAGTATATTAAACATTTATATTGATTTTTAATGCAGTTTTTATCAAATCAGATGGACAGATGAATGCTCTATGATGACAGTAATGTACATCATACTAGCAGGTTATTTGTGCTTTATTTGGTAAAGAAATGTTAATTCATGAAATGAAATATATGTATTGTAAAGATAAGATACACACTGCGATATTCACTATTAAAATATTTTAGACTCAATTCTGAAACGAGACAAAGGTATTTGGTTTTAGGAAGCTTGGTAGTTAGAGTGTAAAGATGTTTAATGAATTTAAACTACTGATTAGTTCATCAGCAGTAACACAGGACTAGTTATAGTGTAACGAAATTAAACAAATTTCACTGTTCTCTAAAGTTACTCCAATAACTTGAAAGGTAATTAATGCTACTGAGTATTCTGTATAAACCAAATAGACGTTTGGGAATGCTTCGTTTAATGTACTAAGTAATCTGTATCCAATATTAAATAAGACTTTCCACTAGTCGACAGACAACTACATGCTTTACACTACTTAACACACTTTTGGACATTACAGAATTACATGTGTGTCGAACTACGAACACCTAAACAAACAAACTTAAAATGGATTAAAAACCACTATTAGAAAACACTAATTAGGCTCACTTAGAAGATAGTATTTTCCGTAAATATCGTCATTTCATTCTATTTGTGTGCGGGCTGTAATACTGCCCGGGTGCCCAGACCGAAGCAGGTGGTTTTCTTAGGGGGCCACACCCCGAGCCTTTGACCTAAAGGTCTGACCCACACGGCAATGAGTAGGACTTGCCTGTCATAGGCTGTATATGCGTGGCCGTGTAAGAGCATTTCGAGAAGGAGAGCGGGCACTCTCCACTCTCGGCCATACTAGGGCATTTGGGGGCCGTAAGTTTGCTGTGATCGAAACAGTCTGTGAAAATGACGGGATGCCGATCACTAACATCCATCGACGTCTTGGACGATGGGCAGAATTCTTCGAAGGGCAGTTCAACTGGCCTGCTGCTCCGGCAACATCGGTCAGACTGTCCTGCCCTCCATGGCCGGTGACGACTGATCCACCAAACGAGGAGGAAGTCCGCAAGGAACTCCAACTCTTGAAGCGTTACAAATCACCTGGCCCAGATGACTTACCTCCGGCTCTTTTTAAAAATGGTGGTGACTTTTTGACTAAGGAATTGACGACGTTGTTTACAAAGGTTCGGGAACTAGAGAGTGTACCAACGTCATGGAATGAGTCGATAGTTGTCCCTATCTTTAAAAAGGGTTCACGTCGTTCCTGTAACAACTATCGGGGGATAAGTCTACTTCCGATTGCGTCCAAGCTATTGGCTTCCATCATACTTCGTAGGTTGTTCAAAACCCGAGAAAGATTGACTCGTGAGGAGCAGGCTGGGATTCGTTCTGGTCGTGAATGTATTGATCATATCTTCACCCTCCGCCAAATGTTAGAACACTGTCATACTTATCAAAGGCCAACAATCGTAGTGTTTCATGACATCAGGGCTGTCTTCGATTAGTTGGACAGGACTGTTCTCTGCGATTGTCTATTGAATAAGGGTGTGCTTGAGAAGTTTATTAACATCCTAAAAGCCCTATATACAAACACCTCAGGCAGAGTGAGGGCATACAATCAACTTTCTCCATTGTTCCACCCGAGCAGTGGGGTTAGACAGGGTTGCCCAATCTCACCATTCCTCTTCAACTTTGCCATCGATGACATTCTGGAAACAGCTCTGATGAATGTAAGTAATGGCGGTGTAGATCTGCTGTCTGGAGAAAGACTTCTCGACCTTGAGTATGCGGACGATATTGTCTTACTGTGCGATAATGCCCAAGGCATGCAATCCTCACTTAATCAGTTGGCAATCAGTGTCCGCAGGTATGGTATATGCCTTGCA